GTATCTTTTTATAATGGACCTTGCGATGTATACGCCAAAACTCGGATCTCGAAAACTACCACACCATCATCACCAATCATAATTGGGTAATATTTTTATAACTAGGCAGTATTTAAACAAAAAGGAGTAATTTTCAGATTTAACCAATATTACGAAAAGGGGGCAAGTTTCAAATATGAAATAATAAAAACAAACTTAAAAAAATATATTCCTTTTCCTTTAGTGAAAATCTCACGCGTGTTGCAACATAAAAGCAAGGCACTTTCATTGATAACTGCATCTACAAAAAATACTTCAGTAAAATCTACTCTTGGATGTAATACTGTGATGATAGCTCATATTTAAACTAAAAATTCAATAAAATACTTTTTCTCATGGATGATGAACATTATTCAATATCAAGCATGAGTACATTGTTGTAGAACTGTCAGACAATTGCAGAAAAGGCTGCAGGTCCAATGTCCTTTTACAGGAACTAAAAGTTATACCTGCCCGGAGGGCGGGTATTTGATTGGATTGCCTTCAGCATAGTGTGATGACTAGGTGTAGCCCTATTCTAACTTAGGATATTTGCATAAAATTTGCAATGCAAATATACTAGGTCTAAGCAGGGTCTGATTAAGGTGAAGCTATTGGATCTGTAACCTCAGGAAAAAAAAAAAAAGCCCGTCTTGACTTTTTTTTAGGAGAATGCTTATTAAAAATCATACGATCGAGTCTACTTATTTGTGAAGAGAAAAAGAAAGGGAGGTGAAACTAAAAGGTTTGTGTGGATCGTGGGTAGGTCTGCCATGCGATTTAGAGTGCAGATAGTTGATTGGCTTTTCCTCCAAATAGTGTGACTATATGTAGCCCCGCTCTGGCCTAGCATATTTGCATACGATTTGCGATGCAAACGTACTAGGTCTAAATGAGGCTAGACCTAGTCATCCAAATCGAATGATAGGCCTCGGCCAATAAAATCACCTCGCGGCTTGTGTCCAATACGCCATCTCTTATCTGACGATCAAGTTGTAGGCAAAGTATATGACTAGACCAAAGTTGCTAGGGTAGATTGATGATATTTATATTTTTCGATCCTTCATTCTCAAAGACTTCAGAGTTTGTTCAAGAAAGGAATTCAGTCATCGCTAACAAGGAAAGTAGCAGTATTTTAAGCTCATGATTTGACTAAAATGTTCTAGTCTATATCATCATCAGTATATGCCTGAAATTAAAATCTCTCATAATTATAACTTATATTTAGTTATAAGTTACAAGCTGAGGTACCCGTCATTTGTCCGGGTTATGAACTTGAAAAAAAAGTTTCATGCAATTTATTTATAACATGACATATTATAACAATATTCATTATTACCTCACTAAAAGTTTTGATTAAGCTGTGTATACTTAAAACATTGTATACACTGTGCGATGGTCAGGGTGACTTTGTAAGAAGATTAGCAGCAAAAGTATGTGGTGGTAGGGATGCTTTCTGTTACCTGCTTTCAATACTCACCTCTTATTGTCCTTCTACAGTGTTTCATGTGATTAATTAATTGATGGCCATTGGCTGCAGAAGTGTCTTACGGGCTGACGTTGAAAGGTCATGGGTCAAAGTAAGAAATGAGTATAACTCAAGAAATGGCTCTCGTATCAACCTTAGTTAATGTTGGAGTAGAAACTTCAGCTGAGTTTATGTAGTATTGCAATAGTGGTGGCCATTATTGTCATTGCATTCCTCATAAAGCACATACTCTGAGATATATAAGACGTTTGTGTGCCCTTTCCCGCATTGTGTTACAGAAAATTTAATATTTTTTTTGTCTAAGAACGTGACATCATCTGTGAATGTAGTTAACATTAACTTTGTAAAAATAATACATGCGCAGTAACAGCAATAACGGGTGTGAAGGAGTTGTGACCCCCTCCCCCATTAACATGCCCCTTGTTGCAAACTCTCATTCCCAACAAATTTTGGTTGAAGTTGGCCCAGAAACCTAGGAGTACTTAGATAACGGACAAATAGACAGACACACAGATTTTTGTGATTTATATATTTACATATATACTAGTATAAAAGCTCACCAAAAATGACAGGAAACCAAAGCCTACCGAATTTGAACCCTCCAATATTCATTTACAATTTTGCTGCCCCTAAACAGACAAGAAAAATAAAGGACATTCTAGCTATGGAAAACCAAAGCCTAGCATGACCAATATCTCCTTTACTTAAAGAGTGTAAACATGCTACATATTGGTGCCTTTGGGTAAAAGATTAAAACATATGATGATCATGTGCTTGCATACACACCTGTTCTTCTTCTGAGGAAAAGTTGTCCTCTTTCCTACAGAAAATTGGTTTCTTCAGTCTTTTTTAACACAGACTTTTTTTGTAATAATTCCGAAGTATAGATTTGCCCTTATTTTTCACAGGAGTCTTCCCAACTTTCCTATTTGGATTCTACCTAGCTTGATGTTATAATGATGTGGTGTGACATACATAATGCCATGCCTGATTTGGTTCTGGGAACTCCCTCCTTGACGGGCTTTTACATAGCAGAAAAAGTGCCAAATTTAGGAGCTATTTATTCCCATGTTAGCGACCAAAGGAGGGAGTATTATAGGAGAAGAAGTGGAATTGGACTCGTGTAACTCACGAAATGTTGAGAAATCGAGCGTGACTGACCGAGCGACACTATGCTTTTATATATATATTGATAAATAAGATAGAACCTCATTGATAGCTGAATTTGTTTTCTCATTTTAAACATTAATTATATGTTTCATCTGGTAGTATGTAACAGATTTGAACCAAAACATTCTTCTATTATAACCACTAGAAGAAACCCAAACAGATTCAATCTCATTGTTGTTAGCTTTGATATCCTCAACTTCAACAGGGTGCAATTTGTATTTTACATATAAAGCTACTGCTCCCCTTCTTTTAGTTTTAGTACTCAATCCCTATTAAACACCCTATAACTCTAATAATAGGTAGGCAAATATTGATTTATAATCATAAGGAATAGTTTATTGATGGTGGAACATACTGCCTGTTTGACAGAACATTGGTCTGAAGAAGACAGACCAATGTTCTGTCAAAACATGCTGTATGTTCCACCATCAATAAACTTTTCCTTATGCTTATAAATCATTGTTTGCCTACCTATTAATATATTAGCATAATGTGCTTCCTTACTCAAGCACCCTATAACTCTGCATTTGAAATAAATTTCCGTCATTGAAATTGTCTACATTTAAACAGGTTTCAGTTATTCCATTGCATCAAAATCCTCTGATTTGACCAATGTTCTAAATTCTATGCTTAGTTCTATTTATGATTGGTTAAGCCTACACGTCCCATCTGCATGTTGTCACTTAGCTTTCAGTTCACAATGTCAGTGAAATTCTAGGCCTAACTTACTTACATGCAAATGCTGTGCACATTTGGCAACTATCGAGGGTGACTCATTGTCTCAATAGAATTCTCCAACTCATTAGGCTCTTTATGTGCAATATATGTTTATTATGCCAAGGTTTATCAAGTCACAGGTCAGCATTGGGGTGGATACATGTAACTCAATTATGACCACCCATCTACACTTAATGAATATTTAATTCTTCAGCGATAGGCCAAGATTATTGACCAACCAATTAGCTTGCCTGAGTGCTTTGAAAGTCAATTGAACATGGGTCACATATTATCACATTACATTTTCTCACACTTTCTCCGATAGATCTAGGCCTATAAAACTTGAATGAAATTTTGATTCAATCATAATTGATATACATTTAATAATTGTTAGTTTGTGCAAAAGTTTTTATCACTGTAAATGAATGCAGTGCACCCTGCAAGTAGGCTTACTCAAGGGGATTTCCCCGACTAACGTTCCAGACTAAAAATATCACACACTCTAGGCCCACGCTATTTGTTTTTTGTTTATTTACAGCATGACCCACTGGTTTGTTTCCCAAACAGAAGTTCACTTCTCAATTTGGGTTTTTGCTGTCTGGTAGCCTAGTGCTGTAAACACAACTAACCATGGCTGATCCTTTCTCCTCAAAATATGATAAATACATGTTAGATGACAAGCATAAACTGGCAAAGTTGTGTGCTAAATATAAAGCACAGTATGATGATGCTGTTTCATCTTCATCAACAGCAAAAAAAGCATATCAAACAAAAGCCCACAAAGGATTCCTGTCTAAGGCAGTTACAGAAATGTTTCCTTCCCTGAAAGAAGAAAGTGCCTCTTATTAAAGGTTTAGGAGAGCTGTACAAATGGCAATAAGATGTTATGACAATCTGAAAAGAAAATTTGAGAAGGATGAAAATGATGATGATGCAACCAAAAAGGCAAAAAGGTTTAGAGAATGTTGTGGTAGCTGGAAGTGTAAAGCTGAAGAAATAAGACAAGCAACATTTGACTGGTTCATAGATGTGAAAGGGGTTCTCAAAGGTTGCCTGCCTGTAAAGATGTTCAAGGCAAAGTGCACAGAACTGTATAAACAATGGCTAGATACATAAAAAGAATCAACTGATGAAAGGGACAAGTTGGAGTTTTCCCAAAATGGATCTAAGGGTGGATGAGGGAATATCATGTGAGTTTAAAAACTGTAACAAAAGATTTGCTATCTCACAGAATGACAGGGTTAACAAAATTGTGGACTTCTTGAAGAACACTTACAGATTCTGTCATTTCTTTCTAGCCAACTTCAAGAAGAAGCCCATAATCGTAAATGGAGATCAAATACCTCTGCATAGGAAAGAGCCTTCAAATAAGAAAACACTAACACTCAGTGGTTAGCCAATATATGTCAAAGAGAACTACATGCTCTCTTGTAAACGAGTTACTGTCTTCAAACAGGTCTCTACTGAACCATCAAACACCATGCCAGCACCTGAATTTGAAGGAAAAGGTACTCATATACAGAGGGCATCAAAGGCTCAACAGGCTTGAAATAATGCTCAGAAACATCAGCCACCTGAAGAATAAGTTCACCATGTTCTCACAATAATATTTTGCCGCATGCATCTTCAATGACTACTTCATCCACTGCACAGAAGAAGACAAGAAGAAGTTTCTGAAAAGAGGATACATCCTTGATGTCACAGGCAGAGGCAACATTGGGGATGTTCAAGTAAATGACATTCATATTCACCATCATTTGAAGGCCAAGTACAGAGAGCTGGAAAATGCACTGATGTCAGAACAACAGGAAGAACAATTAAACAGAAACCCATCATCCAACCAGGGATGACATGATCAAAATGCTGGTCACAAGCTGGGCAAGTCTGACTTTTGACACAACCACTGCTCTGAAGAACAACTTCATTTCAAATGGCTTTGATGGAACAGAAGATTTTCTTGTCTCTGACAAGCTGTACTCTTTGATGGGGAACCAAATCATAGCCTTTCACAGAGAATGTTTGAAATAAAAGCCACCCATGAGTGTGAAGGAATTAGTAAGATTATCTTTGCGAAAAGGTGTTGTAACTAAAAGGTGGAGTGAAGAAATTCCTGATGATAAAGGGCAAGAGCTGATGGACTGCGAAGGTGATGAAATTGAAGGAACTGTTGAAGATGAAGAATTTTTGCACAAAGAAGAGGATGGCATGAAGGTGGCTGTTCCTTCCATCAGTGATGAGCTCTATTCGGCTTTGGAAACCAAACAACTGGGCCTTGCACTATCTGACAATGCTAATGATGCATCCAAAATTGAAGATGTCTTCTTCTTAAATGAGATAGGAGAATTGCTTGAAAAATACAACACCTCAAAACTTTTCATTCCCTTTAGGTGTCAGTTCCAGGACACTTATTCCTAAGCCAAGGGAAGTATCAAGAAAGAATTCTTTCTGATGACAACATCTGCAACATTTTAGCAGCAGGTTCCCCTTCTACAAAACCAACAAACAGAGGACAGCAGCTCAGAGCCATAAGGGGAGAAATAGACTGTTTGTGAAGGAAACACTACAAACAACCATAGCTTTACCACAGGATCATTTTTCCTTGTGAAGACAGGAAACCATGTTCTACCAGCCTGCATATTAGGCGTCAATCCTTTGTCACTCAGATATTTTGAGTCACTGCCAGGGCAAGAAGGACTCTACAAATCCTCTGACAGTGTCTTCAATGCCCTTCAAAAAGACACTGAGAAAATTATTGATGATTAAAATGCTGTGTCTAGCAGATCCAGAAAAGTGTTCTATAAATTCAACCTGTGAATGATCATGTTATTTACCACTAGAAATATTTGGCTCTTAAATTCACCTTTCCTTTGGGTAGTACTCACATGTTGCTTAAAACTCAGATCACTTAAGTTGAGTATTAATGAACAAATGAATTTAATTTGTTTCATGTAGCAGCAATAAGTAAAATCATGGGCATTGTTGTTACTTTTGTTCCAGATTTTGTTGACATCTGTAGAATTTGACACTCTGCTTAGTAGTTAGTACTTTAAATTTTGTATTGAATTTCTTGTCTCCAGTCAGATGAGCTCTCTTTGCTCTAAAATCCAATAATGTTTCAAATAATACAGTACTTTTATTATAGCATTTTTTGTATTTCTGTGCAACATTAGGATTTAAAAATGCATTTTACTGAAGATGAATAACATAGTTATAGCTGATTGTTGTAAGTGGTTACTCCAAATTATATTACATTATTTTGGTACAAATAACTTTTTTCAAAGTTTCTCTGCATTGGAATGATTAGTAAGATCTCTCTTTCTTCTTCCAATATACTTCACTGTACATTTAATAAAGTACAGTAGTTGTCTGTTCGGGATATTTATTTTTTTGTTCTCTTTATATCAGATGATTTTCAGTCACTACTTGAGATTTTTTTCCAATTTGCATCATGTTGGTTGTTTTGATTAATAAATTTCATTCATTAATTGTTTATCTTTTTTGTGACATTTTTCCATGAAGTTTTATGTGCATGTGTATTTCTTTGTTTGAAAATATGTTATTTGTTATAATTAAAAAATGGACAAAGACAACAGTAATAAAATGACATTGGTTCACGTAAAATATATTTTCCAGGGTGAGGTTAAAAGGCCAGTGGAAAAGATGAGCTACTGTAAGCATTTCTAAAATGAGAAATCATTTTAATGAAAAACAAAATTCAATTTCATACTACACTGGTTGACAAAATTGAACTTTTTTCTTTCATAAAAGATGTAAATACACTTTTCTAAACTAGTTTTACATGCTGATTCCAAATCTGTTTTTGGTTTTCTTCTACCACATCTAGTTATTGATATATGACTGGTACTAATTTCAGCACAATTTAGGTAATAACCTCACATTAGGCTAGTTAACATTACAACTTTATTCATTGTTCAGTAAAATTCCCATAAACTTTATACACCCCATACACTTGATTAAATTTATACAGCACACAGGTATGAAAAAAGAAATGTACAACAATTTAAATTATAATTGAGGCAATAACCTTTCAAATTTGATTTATCTCACTATGAAAACCTGACGTGCTAGAGGAAAACCAAAAACAGATTTGGAATCAGCATTCCAAGAGCTATCTAACCCTCCTATAACTATATCTGATGAAAATTACTTGTTGGACCTGTACAATCATTAATTTTGAAGTCTGAATTTTTCTACCCTGTACTATTATTCTACTAGAGTAGAACTAAAGACTGAAACCCATTACTCACTAAAACCTGATTATAATTAAACCCACTAATGCAAACTCTATTGGTAAATATAACTTCCTGAAAGTCATCATTAGGTACTGTATCCTTTGCATGAAAAAGCTTAAGTTCCTCTTTAAGTTCTACTGCTGTTTCACGCAATTTACCCCTTCTCTTTATCCATTACTTCTATTCTATTCGAGATAGCCTCCAGTTTCTCTTCCAACCTACAAACCATACATACAAATTTCACATTTTCACTACTAGCTTTCTTAAATGTGCATGCTCGTCCTAAGTTCTAAATAAAACCAGAGTGTAAGCATTTAATCTTAACCACTGTAGCCTGGGAATAAATTGTCAACAATAAATGCAAGTAGCCTATTGACTAAAGTGTTAAGCCAAACCTAAGAGTTAAATATATTATGCTATTTTATCATTAAAGTATCTTCTTACTAAAGTAATTAAGTTTATTATTAAAATAAGAAGTGACAAATACTAGTTTTTATATTTATGTAATTATACAATTAAAATAGCCTGTTTTATGACTTACCAATAACTGAATAAGCTTGTAGACAAAGTCATGTTATACTTGATATGCCAAACTGTATATTAACCGGTGGCGGTAATAAAGACAATGGAAAAAAGTCAATCTGAAAAAAAGACAAAGAAAATTACACAAACAGGTAAAAAGTAAAGAAAAAAAGTTGGTCTATATGGTTTCAATAATTGGCTTAGGCTTGGTTTAGTTGTTATTGATACTGTTTTCTAAAATACTTTTTGACTTTTCTACCTATTTATGTAATTTTCTTTGTCTTTTTTACCCTTGTTTTCATTATCTAGATTCAGATTAAACAGTATTATTAAATTGTAGATAAATGTAACACCAAAATCATCTATTAACCAATGTCAGTGCCACAGCTATGATGTACAGGACATTTCTAATTACATGCATCAAAATGTTAATTTAAACAATTTAGTCTAAATTCTCAACAACTATCAAATAATAGAACAATAATTTAAACTTTTAAGTTAAACAGATTCTACTTCTTGCATAGAACACTAACTCTTTATTTCAATCTAATATTTAATAGCTTTTTATCCTATGTAGTATAAGCCAGTACTTGTAGGTAACTAAAAACAAAATGTCATTGTATTAAGCCTAATGTTGTAACTTTTGTTAAGCTGTACCTGTACTAATAAAACCTAAAAGTGTCCAATACCATCTAAACTAACTAAAATACACCAAAATAACAACTCTATACTTTAAAAATATTGAAGAAATACTTTTCTCTAGAAGAATGCTATAACCTACAACTACATGTTTGTGACAGTTCAAATCCTCTGTCTGTTACTTTCCTTAGCGCCATCTATATATATATATATATATCAGAAGTAAGACTAACTGGTTTATAATGTTAAAGGTAACTCATATCACCATTAACTGATTACATGTGATTGATATTAAAACTTATTTACCATTAAATACAGATTCACTAATTTCAGAAACATTACTTGGTATAACAATAAACACACCTTTCCATGTGTGCTTTAGGGATTCCATAAAAATTATCAAATGATTTCCTGATGGTCTTATATTTTCTTAGTGTGTCTGAGTTAATAAATTATTTTTGTTCAGTTTTGATAAATATTTTGCAATTTTGTTAATATAGAATTAGTAGGATTTTGTAAATCTGAAAAATTTTGTTTAAGTTGTCCATGATGTTATCTACTAAGGTAAACCCCCTCATAATGTTGTTCCATTAATCAGATTTTGTTATGTCAATGTTATTATTATTTCTGTTCAGTTTTTTAATGTCAATATTTTTTCTTTGTTCAAATATAAAAATTTTGACATTTATAGTATTGTCTGGATTGATAAAATTGAGGTATAGAAACTTCAAAATTAAAAAAAAATTTGGCAATACATTTAGTTGGATACACACATTCAGAAAATGTATATGCAAACCATGATGCATATATACAAAAAAAAGAAGAAAAAAGTTGGTGGTGGATGCTGCCAGACATTTACCTTCTGTTTAGTTAGCAATTAATTAGTGGCTTTGTGAGTAACAATAAACAAACATAATAGCAATATTTTGGTTACTTGGATAATTGAAATAACTGAAAACAATAATAATTAGAATAATTTGAGTGGTCAAAAATGTAACAAACATGTGATTTCGACACAACTCCAGTAGGTTTTATATCTTGTATATTAAACTAAAAACAATAGAAAATTAGTTGTATAAAAATATTTATTCCATCAGTGATGATGGTGATATTTTTTGTAGAATGTCTTAATAACTAGTTAGAAAAACTTGAGTGCAAGTAAAGAATAATGTAATATGTCAACCACACTATGCTATTATAGTACACCCAGTGCTGTTGAAACTTTTGACTAAATACCATGGTTCATCAGGCAAGCTAGGGTACGACAGACGTAATAATGTTTGAGATGTATATTTCATTGTTTACTTGAACAACAACTATTTTGATGTGAACTAGACCAAGATGATGAATTGTCATTCTTACCAATTTTATTGAAGTCATTACACATCAGAATGAGGCTTGTGATTTTTATTAGCATCAAATTATTATTTTATTTTACTTGAATTAATTTTACTCATTGTTCAGAAGCACTAGCAAAGCAATAAGCTAGTCATTTTGGTTCTGTAGCAGGTTAAGTGACAACAACATCATATGGAGAGACTACATTAGTAGTAATAAAATAACACAAAGTGCGTGTAGCAGTTAAAAAGTTACTGAAAAATCCATAATAAATGGAATAAACTATCAGAAGATTTGAAATAAGAGAAACTAGTTTTGACCAATTTGTGTGTTATCATCAAACTCACGTTTTTTCAAGAATATTTGTCAACAGTATCTGTAACCACAGAGCTTGGAATTCATTGAGGACATGTGTGCAGAAAACTGTTTCTTTTGAAATGACCTTAGGGCATGTTGAAATTAGACTATTGTGTCAACACTTGTTTCTCACTTACTTGACCTTTCTCACAGGATTGCCATAGTATAATATAAACACCTTGTTTTTTTATCTTCCGGTGTTGTTCCATTTGAAGTTATGTTATTTTTCATGGTATTTGGGTATTTGTATGAAATTGAAAAGTTATTATTTCTTATTAGTTTCTGAAGAAACTTAATATTTGTGTTATAGCCAGTATAAAGGGGTTCCTTATTATTGTTGGTTGATCTTTCTTTATATTTAAGAAACAAGATTTTTTTCTTGCTCTAAAATAGAAATTTGTAATGAAACATTGTGGTAAACGAAGTTGTTTTGAACTAACCAAGATGTTTTTAACTTAAGTGTGGCCAGATGGCATATTTTATAGGCTGTAAGAAGAAATATAGAAATAATAGATACTGTACCTTGTTTTTGGTGGCAAGAAAACAGTGAATATAGGAATAATATTTTATCAGTTTTTGATATACAGAGGACATTTCCACACAACTCTTAGCATCCATCCCATCTGGGCTTACACCTGTTTATGGATGCCTCTATAGCCAGGTGGTGAGCAGAATTTGATATCTCTACCCTTTTTAATGTTTGGATTCTTGAGGAGCAGTCTTTCTACATCAACATCCATGAGATGTACCTCTCACTATCTTTTATTATAACTGTCTGGACATCCTGTTTGATCTCAATTAGTGTTCTGTTCATCTTCCAATAGGGAGATGCTTGCTTTTGAGACTTCTGCATCTTGTTCTCAAGCATCTCTTTTTAGGCTTATTACAACACTGGTTGTTGACATTTCATGCTGTGAGAGCTTTGAATTTGGTTGTAGATAAGCTATCTTGCCCAGACCAAATTATTTTGACAGAGTAGTATTTACATTTCCTGGTGTTTTCATGGATTTTTTTTTTCCAAATTTAGGAATCCTCTCATCAATGCACTTGCAATTTGACTCTTCCCTAAGCTTTTATTTTTGTTGTCAAAAGTCTCAGACTCAATGGCCCTGGCAGTATCCCTTTTAGGGCTGGATTGTTCCATCCTTTTCTGAATGATTATCTTTCTATTCAGCTTCTTCCCAGGATGCTGTCTTTAATTCACAGCACCCCTTGCCAGGTACTTCTCATTGTCCCTCTGTAGCCAGCTCAATCATAATTTTTGCTTCTTCACCCCTTTGTGATCATGGGGCTGCTTTTTCTTCTATCTTAGAAGTTCCTTTTTATGTCAGTCTTGGATGTCCATCTTTTACCTTCTTCTTCACTTGAGGCTTTTGTCTGGACCTTTGAAAGATGGGCAGGTTTTTCTTGCAGAGCAGCCCATTTTCTTATTCACTGTTGTTTGCCATCTACCATTGCAGTTTATCTCTGCAAATGGATAATGTATCGATGTTGGGCCATTCAATACTCCCCTTCTCTTTCTCATCTCACATTCCTTTTACCTGACTTGTTGAGGTTATTCTATTCATTTCTATGATAAGCCAGTTACTGTTCAGCTTTTTCAACATCTTCTGTTACCTTTGTTGCATTGTCAATGCTCTTACATTTCCTCCTTTCAAATTTTTGACTACCCGTTCCCTATATCATATTTGATCTTTTTTGCATCACTCTGATATTTTTAACTTGAATGCCTCTTGCATTCTTTACCACAGGTTGATTTTATTCCTAGACTGTTCCTTCCTCCCTAAGACTTAGACTGCTTGGAAAGGGTGTTAGATGTTTTCTTTAATCACTCAGTTGTTGAGATCTGATTTTTCACCTTTGTCCTGTTTGTGCAGGTCCCTGTTATCTTGACTGCAGTACTCGCTCTTGAGGTAATGAACACAATTTTTTTTTTTTGCCAAGGGATTCTTTTTCTTCTTATGACTTATATCCTTCTTCATTGATTGGTTGGGTGAAACAATTCATTCGACTTATTTATTCTTCTATGAAAAATAATTCATTTTGTTTTTTCATCTCACCTGCTATAAAATTTGTCATTCCAAAACATGCTTACTTCCGCTGACACTTATAGCTATTACTCGACCTCCAATGTTTTTTCCTTTGCTCACCTAAGCATTGGTCTTATTTTTTCTCGCTTGCTCCAGTCTTTTATACCCCACCTAATTGCCTTTGGTGATATTTGTCTCGTGACACTCTCCACCTACATCATTGAGCTCTCTATTCTGGTACTGTATATAAGCACCTTATTCAGATAATGTTATCCCTTTTCTGGACAAAGCATTTAGACACTGGTTTCTCTAAAGAAGTGCTGCAATAGTTAACGTCCTTGGGTACAATTTTTGCGTCCACCTACATCAATGCACCTGCTGTTCTGGTACTGCATATAAGCACCTTATTCAGGTAGTGTTATCACTTTTTCTCAACAAAGCATTTAGAAACCGGTTTCTATAAAGAAGTACATCGATAGTTAATGTCCCTGGGTGCGACTTTTGCATTGCCTAGTTGATTCCTGTTCAATAAAATTTTAACAAATCTAAAAAAAAAATCATTTTGTTTCGACATACTGTTTTCAGGCATGACTTGCAGAGTTACTGTTTCCATTAAAGAAGCTAATCAGAACTCTGTTACACATTTTTTATCTAGTGTCCCTCATTGGTTGAGGGGTGGGGTCACTATCGTTTGAGGCCATCCTTGATATGATTCGTTGTGAGATGGAGACATATATTGGGTCTGGGGGTGTCTCTCTGGAGAGTTCTGAGGCTGCTGTTGCTGATGGTCCAGGACATTCTGAAGAGAATTTAGACTCACTTTTTCCGACTCTTTTTATTTATTAGGTCGGCTTCTCACGAGGCCAATTTGGATCAGCCACATCCTGCTTCCTTTCTTCGGTTAGTTATTTAGGTTTGTAAGGCTCTGAGGCTTTCCACAGTTGCTTTTGAGTGTACTCCTTCCTTGATGGCAGAAAGGTTTGAGAGCAAATAATTAGTTTTTCCTTCTTCATCTGATATTGCTTTTCATGTAGGGAGATTTACCACACATTTATGTGAAGGGATAGCTATGTCTTGCCCCACACATTTTTTGGAACAGCATGCTTTGGCTTATCACTGCAAGGAGGACATATATTTAGATTCCCAAAGACTTGATGCACTTTTGGAAATGTGGCATTCCAGAATGGTGTCTGTGACAACTTTGAAATGATCATAATTATCTAGGATTTGTCTGAGCCTCACTGCAGTTCTGAAATATTTATCTTCCCTCCAAATTTTGTTGGAAGCCTCTTAGCCATCACCACATCAATATGATGATGAATTGGGTCCTTTGCTGACTCCTACCTTGGTAAGATTGTCAGCTTCTGCTCTTTCATTGGTTTGTTGGGACTTATTGGGTAGAGATGCCATGTTGGAGAGAGTTAATCTCCCTGCTGCTGCC